ACAACTTCACTCTTCACTCTTTACTGGATGGATGCCTGTTCTTTCAAATGCTCCTGTAGTGTGTAGGCTATAGCACAGTACATGGGGTCAGTAGTGCTTCAGTAGAGATTGGGCCAGTCGACAGAAACTGAAGCGTTTCCTCTCCGGCCTACTCCACCCAATGGCACCGTGCCCTGTGCAGCTGTGTGTGAGAGAGACTGACAATGCACAACCTGTGGCCTTAGCAGCAGAAGCTAGGCTGTCTGCTTCCAAGACACACACAACACACACACAGTGTCACACAAACGTACATGGACACAGTCTCCCACACACACACACACACACACACACACACACACACACACACACACACACACACACACACACAGCTCTGCTCAGATGGGCTGTCTGTGTAGGTCTGGGGGTTGAGTGGTACCGTTAGTGACTTGAATATTATTTAGACCTTATTTAGCCTCCCTGTAGTAAAGCACACTACCTCCTCAGACAAAAAGGGCCACACTTATTGGCTGATAGTGATACCATAGTGTAGCATAAAATTAAATATATATATATATTTTAAAAATATTTCATGTTGATTATCAAATCAAATCAATTTTTATTTGTCACATACATGTGTTTAGCAGATGTTATAGTGGGTGTAGCAAAATGCTTTTATGACGAGTTTACATAAACTATAGGACTCTGTGGAAGAGTGATTCACACACACACATATTTTTACATTTTAGTCATTTAGCAGACGCTCTTATCCAGAGCGACATACAGTTAGTGAGTGCATACATTTTTTTCACACACACACACACACACACACACACACACACACACACACACTGTATTGCATTGTGACGGTTCATGTATTGCATTTCTTGCTTGTTATCTGACTCTAGGAGTCTGGAAGGTATGCTGTGAATAGAATAGAATAAAATAAGACTTGTTGAGTCATACCGTACTCCTTGGTTTTGGTTCTTTTGAATTATTTTGAATCACAATTATACTACAGCTAATAGATCCAACACTACATTGACATACATTACAGGTATTCTACTTCCCTGTGACTCACAGTTCTTGTAACTGCAGTGAACAGACAGTACGTAACCGTTCAAGCCTACGGGGGTTAGAGTACCTTAGGTATTGGTCCCTCTCTCCATTCTCCTATTGGTTCCCTCACATCCCAGCTTTACCCTCTCTGTCTTCTGTGAGTGGGCAATGTCAGTGATGTCACCACCATTAACAGAGAGAGAAGAGTCAGATTTCGCCGTCCATAGTAAATACTGTGGCTCTTGGACTAGTCAGAGCACAACATAAGGCGGTAGGGTTTATATATTTTTGAAATCCATTAGCACAATCCACATAGTAAATAACATTACACCTATATATGTACTATTATATACTTGTATGATGCACAAAACCAGCATGATAAGATTACTTGTATCAGCTATATCAAGAAAAAAAACACTCAAAGCATTTTGTTTTTACATTTAAAAAAAAGAATAGTCATAGCCTTCAGAGTGATAAAACATATCCATATTATATTATATTAATTCCCAAATGTAGGTCTGTAAATAATAAGATTGATGTGACACAAATATATAACTTTCAATCAGTTGATTTCAGTTAATTGTCTCATTGATTGTAAAGTGGTTATCCCACTGGCTATAGGGTGAACGCACCAATTTGTGAGTCGCTCTGGCTAAGAGCGTCTGCTAAATGACGTTAATGTGCCCTTGAGCAAGGCACTTAACCCTAATTGCTCCTGTAAGTCGCTCTGGATAAGAGCGTCTGCTAAATGACTAAAATGTAAATGTAAAATGTAAGTATATAGAATATATTTCTCAAGGGATGCTGAGATACCAACCCTGCTCAAACTGTACTGGATAGCATTTTATAGTTTTCAAGGAATAAAGAACTTTGTCAAGTATTCAAAGGCCCAAAATGTTCTGCAGATATGATGACGAGATTTGAAAGAGTGGTGCCATTTGGGTTGCATCCCAAATGGGACCTTATTCTCGATATAGTGCCATATAGGCTCTGGTCAAAAGTAGTGCACTATGTAGGGAATAGGGTGCTATTTGAGACAGATACAGAAATAGGCCTAAGAAAGGTGGTCAGTAAAACCATTTTTAAACTCAAATTAAATAGGCCTACACACTCTTTACAAAATGCAAGCATCCATGGCTATGATATGCTTCTGCTATGGTACAGAACATGAGTTCTGTAGTCTGTTTCTCTTATTTTGAGATAGTCTTAATACCGTTTAATAAAAATTTATAAATCATAGTTCAATCTCTTAGAATACATTGTTGCCCTTAGCCTAATGTCATTCGTTGTGAGTTAAATCAGATTGGCTGATTCTGTGTAATAGATGAGTTATTGCCAATGATTTATAGAGACACTAGATGTGCTGTGTTGAAGTCACCATGCCTCCATTTAGGCACACCCCCAACGTTGTAAAAAATATTTAGAAAGCTATATAAATGTGTTTATTAATGTCTACATTTGTTTTTGCCACATTCATTATATTACAGACACCTTAACGCATACTTTTAAATTATATTATGTGAGCTAAACATAAAAATATATATAAATATATTTTTTAAATCCTTAAAGTATACTTTTTTGAGATTGCTAATGTTACTGTCCCCACAACAACAACAAAAATACTTAAATACATGTAATTTTCTCCTTAAAACATTTACTTGAAATACTGTAGAATTCCATTCATTCCTATGGAGGACTGCTCCAGTGGATTCAAAGTCTCACAATGGCCAATACATAATGGCCCTGTGTAGCTCAGTTGGTAGAGCATGGTGCTTGCAACGCCAGGGTTGTGGGTTCAATTCCCACGGGGGCCAGTATGAAAAATAAATAAAAAATGCACTCACTAACTGTAAGTCGCTCTGGATAAGCGCGTCTGCTAAATGACTAAAATGTAATAACATTAGCAATCCAGGGTTTATTTACATCATTGGTAATTAATAGCTCAAGCTCAGGAAGTGGAAACGTAGCCAATGCGTCGTGAAACACGAAACACAAAATTAAAGTCCAAATTAAAGCGCAGCAAAGACGCCACTCATTCTAGTAGAATCCAACAGCTGTGTTATAGCAGTCAATATGAGCAGTGTAAAATAAGTTTGGACTTGTATAAGAAAGAACGGCGCGGTCTCGCAGTATCACACGGTTTGATTGTTTTTGAGAAGGGAAATTAAGGAAACCAAAGAAATGAAATGCAGGGCGGACTGTCGGTCATTTTGTAGAACTGCGTTTTGGGTGTAACTTTGCCCTTACACCGGTAGTCGAATGCACCCACGTCTGGGCCTCGGGAAGGGCTGGCTCATGGCAGAGGGAGCAGTCTGCCCTAAAACCCGGACCATAAAACTCACCAGGAAAGCCAGCAACTATCCGGGACAACTGTGGAATCGTATTGGACCTTTTGATAAGCGCGCGCCAGGCGTTTTGGCTGTATATTGACGCGCCAGATTGACTTTAAACACAGTTTTAAAGTTACATATTATTTCAGCGGAAGACTATCATTCTTGCCTCGCTGCCTGTGTTGCTACTTCGCTACAATCAAGCCGTTCTAGTGCGACCACACCCTCCCCGCTTCCTGATACTAGGCTATACAGAAGATGTAGCGGGAGAGAGCACAACTGACTTTCAGTTTGGAATCCCCACCACTCATTTTTCAGTGATGTCTTGTGGTCGACCGACATGTTAGTTGTGAAATAATGTTTAAGACGTGTTCAGGAGTTTAGGCCATAATTTCAACAGGGACACGACTGCTATGGATATCAAAACCGAAACCCGACACAGGATATTCCGGACAAGACATTCACTCCCCGCGTTTTGCTAAGAAGTGCTTATGGACAATAGATATGCCTATGGAATCGAACCTGCCGGACGAACAAGTGTCTATCACGGGACTGTGTATGAAAAAGAAGAGGTTGAAAGTCGCGGGAGGGCCAGTGCAATTGGCCTGTTGCGTTTTTGGAGCCTTCTGTTTGGAAAGACTCATGTAATGATGATGCAGGAAAGGCAGAGGGAGCGAGGAGTGGTCGAACGGAACAGTCTGGGTGGTGCTCTCCTTGTAACTGGAATGAGCCAGCCTCCCGGTCAAACTAGGGTGGTCAAATTTAGTGGGTACACTTCAACGGACAATACGGTTCACATACACCCTGCCCTCAAACAAGCAGGTATTTTAAGATCCTATCGTGTTCTCGAGAAAATTTAATCCGAAAAAAGGACACGTCTTAAAGTTGTAGTTTATCAGTTCAAATATTATCAGATCGATAATATTTTTTTGATTTTATTAGATTCATAAGTTTTAATATTATCTTTGTACAGTCTGCACTGAAGTATAGGCACCTTGGTGGCACTGCAGTTTAGTGTGTGATTTTGACTAATATAGTTTATTACAATAACCTGTGAATTTTTCTGTTTTGCGAAAACCTGGGACTACAATAGATATTAGCAGGTGGTTGAAGTTTTTTTTCCAGGGCATTTTAGTTAGTATGTAAACATGACAACGAATAAGTTATAAACACTGAGTAAATGAAAAGTTAACATTTGAAGGGATTCTCGTCACCAAAAAATGAAAAGGAAGTGACTGTTTAGAATAGTTAATTTTATAGATCATAGATCAAAACCAAGGTACTAATTTAACCCCAACAGAATTCCAAGCCGTACTTTGTATGTGAATAATGAGCTGGAGTACCATGACATAGAAATTCTAATTTGATCTCAGCAAATGTTTACTTTGAGAATACGATGCCCTGTGCTTTTTCGCAATCTCACATTGACACATACAGTGGACTACATATACTCTGAAGGACTATAAGGAATATTCTCTGGCCAGTTCAAACTCACAGTTTTACACATATAGGGGTGTGGGTTATCGTTAATAACAATGTCTTAAACTACGCTTTCTGACCATGGAGTGTGTGACGACGTAAAACACGTTTCTCATTGAAACCCCCCCACTAATCGAGCAGCTTGACCCCCCTACTATGGCTAGTAGTGGCTCAGGGAGGTCAGCTAGCGAGGGTTCCAGCAGCACACAGAGCAGCAGCGTGCAGCAGAGGAAGAAGCTGTCGTCCATCTGTGACACGTGTAAGGGCAAGATGCAGCTGGTTGCCGACCTCCTCCTGCTCTGCAGCGAGACACGGCCCGTGGTCACCGCGGACGGCGTGGCTGTGGCCGAGACCTTCGAGCAGTGCCGCGACACGGTCATCGCCCGCACCAAGGAACTCTCCATCCTCACCCACGACATCCAGTCGCAGCTCAACATGGGCCGCTTCGTCGAGGTGGGAGACCGCTTACTAGAGATGGGGGACCTGGTGGTGTCGTTGACCGAGTGTTCGGCGCATGCCGCCTACCTAGCGGCGGTAGAGACCACGGGTTCTCAGCCGTGTCTGCCAGGGCTGGTGGACCGCTACAAAGTGACACGGTGCCGCCACGAGGTGGAGCAGAGCTGCAGCATCCTCCGGGTCACATCGCTGCCGGACCTCACGCCCCAGCTACTCCTGGAGCTATCTCAGAACATCTCCCGCAGCCTCAAGACCCTGACAGACGCCTCGGGCCTGGCCAGCGAGAGGTCCAAGGACCGCTTCGCCAAGGAACAGTTCAAGCTCAGCGTCAAGAGCATTAGCACGAGCGGCACGGCCCTCTTGGCCTGCGTCCGTGAAGTCAAGACGCAGCCCAGTGAGCTGACGCGCAACCGCTGCGTCCTGTTCAGCGCGGCGCTGGTCCAAGCGGTAAACGCATTGGTCGGGTTCGCCACGGAACCGCAGTTTCTAGGCCGGGCGGCGAGCGTGTCGCCTGAGGGGAAGGGTGTGCAGACGGCGGTTCTGGGCGGCGCCATGAGCGTGGTGTCAGCGTGCGTCCTCCTCACTCAGGGCCTCCGGGACGTCTCCCAGCATCCAGAGAGCAGTACTAAGATGGCAGACTACAGGGAGCGCTTGCGCAACTCGGCGTGCGCGGTGTCGGACGGCTGCACGCTGCTCTCACAGGCGCTAAGGGAGAGGTCTTCACCCAGGACTCTACCGCCAGTCAATTCCCATTCTGTGAATTAGTTGAATAAAGAAATAGAAATAAACCCATTCTAGAAGTGATCGTGGATGAGAAAAAATCCCATCACTATCTCCTTGTTTTGGCATACCAAAGAGACTGGCTCGGATTGGCCCAGTTCGTTTAGGGTCGGGAGGTTGAGTGAGAGCAGAGAGCGAACACAAAGGAAGGAGTCTGGATCTGGTTCTACGGATGAGATAGGTGTGCTGTGTTTGGAGTTTTACTGAGCTTAGAAGTAACAACATCGGAAAACAAGGTTTTGGTTGCGCTGGATGTGACCAGAACCTCACCTTAAGAAACAGACAACTTAAACTCAGTCTCCTATTTACATACACCTGTTGGCCTTCTCTTTGCCAAAAACAAACATACAATGATCTTAAAACCTGATAAAGTTTACCTCAGTTTTCAGCTATGGTGAAAACGCCAGATATGAAATGATGGATGTAGCCTGCCGTGTGTGTGACCTATCACCTATGACCTATGACCTATGGACCCCCAGGTGACCTGTAGTAGATGTACATGTGCTCTAGTGAGAGTAGGAAGTAAGAAGAAGAGTGTCCTCCATCGCTTGTGTTTTTCAATGTGTGAAATTCTTAAAATGGGTAAAAGCTGCTGTGAGTGTGTGCCATAGGTTTTACACTATCTACCAGACTTACCATAGTATTGTTCATGTGTTTTTTTTGGATCATGCATGTATAAATTAGTATTTATTTCAACTATTAAAAAAGGTTATTTCTCGTAAGCGCTGTTCTCAGATCAGTCTTTGTGTCAGCATACCGTTAATATACATGACTCTGTTATAACAAGCACTACTTCACAATGTGATGTAGACAGTCAAACTTAACCCTAAATGCTCCACAAATCACTTCTAAACTATGTTTATATTGTATAAAGGGTGGCTTAAGGGTTTGCCAAAGCACTAGATGTAAGGGCCCTGTTATATCACCCTGGTATTGTATGACATTTGCTTGTACATTATTTATGAGGTCTCCATGTAGACCTCTTAATGGTTTATGAAGGCTTCATTTACCCTCACAAGATGGACCTTGTTTAAAGTGACCATAAAGACAGTGTGTAGCTACATGATTGAATAAGGTGAAACACAGTAGTTAGAAGACTACTCTCTCTCTCTCTCTCTCTCTCTCTCTCTCTCTCTCTCTCTCTCTCTCTCTCTCTCTCTCTCTCTCTCTCTCTCTCTCTCTCTCTCTCTCTCTCTCTCTCTCTCTCTCTCTCTCTCTCTCTCTCTCTCTCTCTCTCTCTCTCATGTATTGGAAATATTGTGATGATGGATTGATAGCTAGATTTGATCATCATTATGATGATGAAAGAATATGGACCATATTAACATGATGTATATGTTGTCTGTAGTAACATGAAGGAACAGGTGCTAGTGGGGAATATTACAGATGATGATAAATAACAGTCTTTATTGCCTGAAGGAAACACACGCTCTACTCTGACGGAAATTAGCCATGTAAATTAATTCAGGTTGCCATGTCAGCCAGATATTTTAATTTATCACATAGCCTTAAACACAGGGTTTCAAAGAACAATACAGCAGTTTGCTGTAGTTTGAGAGTGTTTCATTGGTTGAGTCTTGTGTACTGAATATTTTGTTTAATTCACTATGAGGTGGTTTAGGCCTGGGCCCATATTCATAAAGCCTCTCATGGTAGAAGTGCTGATCTAGAATCAGTTTAGTTTAATTCACTATGAGGTGGTTTAGGCCTGGGCCCGTATTCATAAAGCCTCTCATGGTAGAAGTGCTGATCTAGAATCAGTTTAGTTTAATTCACTATGAGGTGGTTTAGGCCTGGGCCCGTATTCATAAAGCCTCTCAGGGTAGAAGTGCTGATCTAGAATCAGTTTAGTTTAATTCACTATGAGGTGGTTTAGGCCTGGGCCCGTATTCATAAAGCCTCTCAGGGTAGAAGTGCTGATCTAGAATCAGTTTAGTTTAATTCACTATGAGGTGGTTTAGGCCTGGGCCCGTATTCATAAAGCCTCTCAGGGTAGAAGTGCTGATCTAGAATCAGTTTAGTTTAATTCACTATGAGGTGGTTTAGGCCTGGGCCCGTATTCATAAAGCCTCTCAGGGTAGAAGTGCTGATCTAGAATCAGTTTAGTTTAATTCACTATGAGGTGGTTTAGGCCTGGGCCCGTATTCATAAAGCCTCTCAGGGTAGAAGTGCTGATCTAGAATCAGTTTTAGATCATCATGAATAAGATTAAATGCACAGAGGGGACCTGATCCTAGATTAGCACTCCTACTAAGATGCTTTATGAATACCGGTCCTGACTCTGAACAATGATAACTGACCAGTCATAGACAGAACAATTATGCAAGAGAGAGCGACGGTCCTGCTAGTATCACTTAAATGAAAGACAACAGGTACAGTATAATGTAGTATTACTTATTATAAGTTCTTATTATGTTTTAGCATTAACATATAATATGATAACATTTATAATATAAAGATTTATAATAAACGTTTTATGTGGTAATTGGTCTACTGAATCAAAGTGGCTGATGATAACTCAGAATTGTTATGAGATAAACCAATGCATAATGGGGTTATAACGTGCTTATGACAAGTCTCACAACACATCAATGTGTGAGTACATCATACCGGTTGGCTTCAAGTGTTAACTACCGTTCAGTGTGTTTCAGTTTTCCTCTAACTCAAGGTCACTCCATGTTGTGACTACCGTTCAGTGTGTTTCAGTTTTCCTCTAACTCAAGGTCACTCCATGTTGTGACTACCGTTCAGTGTGTTTCAGTTTTCCTCTAACTCAAGGTCACTCCATGTTGTGACTACCGTTCAGTGTGTTTCAGTTTTCCTCTAACTCAAGGTCACTCCATGTTGTGACTACTGTTCAGTGTGTTTCAGTTTTCCTCTAACTCAAGGTCACTCCATGTTGTGACTACTGTTCAGTGTGTTTCAGTTTTCCCCTAACTCAAGGTCACTCCATTTTGTGACTACTGTTCAGTGTGTTTCAGTTTTCCTCTAACTCAAGGTCACTCCATGTTGTGACTACTGTTCAGTGTGTTTCAGTTTTCCTCTAACTCAAGGTCACTCCATGTTGTGACTACTGTTCAGTGTGTTTCAGTTTTCCCCTAACTCAAGGTCACTCCATTTTGTGACTACTGTTCAGTGTGTCAGTTTTCCTCTAACTCAAGGTCACTCCATGTTGTGACTACTGTTCAGTGTGTTTCAGTTTTCCTCTAACTCAAGGTCACTCCATGTTGTGTCAGCTTCATTGTTCCTTTGAAAATGGCCTCAGAGGCCCCATCCAGTCTTCCTACGCACGTACGCAAGTACAATACCGGTCAAACATTTTGGAACACCTACTCATTCAAGGGTTTTTCTGTATTTTTACTATTTTCTAAATTGTAGAATAATAGTGAAGACATCAAAACTATGCAATAACACATATGGAATCATGTAGTAACCAAAAAAGTGTTAAACAAATCAATATATATTTCATATTTGAGATTCTTCAAATAGCCACCCTTTGCCTTGATGACAGCTTTGCACACTCTTGGCATTCTCTCAACCAGCTTCACCTGGAACGCTTTCATCATAGCGCTTGATGGTTTTTGCGAGTGCACTTGAAGAAACTTCGAAAGTTCTTGAAATGTTCTGTATTGACTGACCTTCATGTCTTAAAGTAATGATGGACTGTCGTTTCTCTTTGCTTATTTGAGCTGTTCTTGCCATAATATGGACTTGGTATTTTACCAAATAGGGCTATCTTCTGTATACCCCCCCCTACCTTGTCACAACACAACTGATTGGCTCAAACGCATTAAGAAGGAAAGAAATTCCACAAATTAACTTTTAACAAGGCACACCTGTTAATTGAAATGCATTCCAGGTGACTACCTCATGAAGCTACCTCATGAAGCTGGTCGAGAGAATGCCAAGAGTGTGCAAAGCTGTCATCAAGGCAAAGGGTGGCTATTTGAAGAATCTCAAATATAATAATATTTGTTTAACACTTTTTTTGGTTACTACATGATTCCATATGTGTTATTTCATCATTTCGATGTCAATGTAGAAAAGAGTAAAAATAAAGAAAAACCCTTGAATGAGTAGGTGTTCTAAAACTTTTGACCGGTAGTGTACGTACAAACACAAAAACACACACACACAAATACACGCACACACACACACACACACACACACACACACACACACACACACACACACACACACACACACACACACACACACACACACACACACACACACACACACACATTGAGCAGGATAGACCCTGATCTGTTCCATTTGTTTCACCATAAGCCCCTCTAGCTCCTCTAGCCCCTCTAGCCCCTCTAGCCCCTTTAGCCCTTCTAGCTCCTCTAGCTCATCTAGCCCTTCTAGCTCCTCTAGCCCCTCTAGCCCTTCTAGCTCCTCTAGCCCCTCTAGCCCATCTAGCTCCTCTAGCCCCTTTAGCCCTTCTAGCTCCTCTAGCCACTCTAGCCCTTCTAGTCCTTTTAGCTCCTCTAGCCCCTCTAGCTTTTCTAGCTCCTCTAGCCCTTCTAGCTCCTCTAATACCTCTAGCCCTTCTAGCTCCTTTAGCTCCTCTAGCTCCTTTAGCCCTTCTAGCTCCTCTAGCTCCTTTAGCCCTTCTAGCTCCTCTAGCCCCTCTAGCCCTTCTAGCTCTTTTAGCTCCTCTAGCTCCTTTAGCCCTTCTAGCTCCTCTAGCTCCTCTAGCCCCTCTAGCTCCTCTAGCCCCTCTCGACCTCTTGCTCCTCTAGCCCCTCTAGCCCATCTAGCCCCTCTAGCCTTTCTAGCTCTTCTAGCCCCTCTAGCCCTTCTAGCTCCTCTCGTTCTCTAGCCCCTCTAGCCCTTCTATCTCCTCTAGCCCATCTAGCTCCTCTAGCCTTTCTAGCTCTTCTAGCCCCTCTAGCCCTTCTAGCTCCTCTCGTTCTCTAGCCCTTCTAGCTCTTTTAGCTCCTCTAGCCCTTCTAGCTCTTCTAGCCCTTCTAGCTCCT